ATCAGCATGTAGTATGATTAATAATGTGTTTTTTCTTGTTTTTGTTGTGTATGTTTAAGTAAAATAGACATGATTCCATTCAAATCTTGATAATTTTTTGAAGTCACGAGGGTTTTGTTTATCATGAATATCTTAGTTCTAACGTGAATAACTTATATTTTATCGAATCAAATAAAAAATTAGTCGAAGTGTGTATAAACTGTCAAGTTCAGCCCCACAAACCAATACTTTTTTTTAACACAAACTCATATTTTTGGCCAAAAATCAAGACCATCCCAAGGATTTATTCTAATAATTAGGTAGTGTGTGTACAAAATCAGCAATAATGTACTTGCGTATCAGGGGTTAGACCGATTGTGTTGGGAACGTTGTGTTCATATTATTTATTTTTAACAAATTGCGACACGTCCCCATTGCAATTGATATGAAGTTGGACAAAAATAAATTCGAACCGATTTATGTCAAAATCATTATTCGTTCGCTATAATTTTATTTTACCCTCCGGTTGTTCAAAAGAATACCAATACTCTCTACTTTATGGAAAGCAAGCTTTTTTTTTTTTATCAAAAAAAGCAAGCTCATTCTATTATATAAATATACTAGTTATTGTGTACCTGAAGGCACAGAGTAATATGATAAATAATAAATATATTTATATGCATATCTAAAATTAAATCGCAAATATAGAAAATAGATAAAATAATTTAAATATCGATTTATAGTGGAGGTGAGAGATAGTGGACGATAGTGGTGGTGGTAATAATGGCGACGACGATGGTGGTGGTGGCGATGGCGGTGGTGGTGGTGCCGACAGTGATAATGGTGGTGGTGGCGATGGAGGTGACGGTGGCAGTGGTTATGGCGGGGCAGCGACAATGGAGGTGGCGGTGGAGGTGGCGGTGGTGGCAATGGTGGTACCGGTGGTGATGGTAGTGGCAGTGGCGGTGGCGACGGCGGTGGTGGTGTTGGTGATATTAGAGGTAGTGGTGGAGCAGTTCAAAATAATATATATTTTTTTAAAGTACTTATGAGAATTAATTCTTAGAAAAAATTACTTCAAACACACTCTTATGGTCTTATTTTTTCCTATGAAATTTGAAGTTTTAATATTAGCCGTTAGATTAATTTTAAAATAAAATTTAAAGCAATCGCAACCACAACCGCGAATAACAAAAGTCATTTTGTTTATTTTTAAGATTTGAATTATAAACTATTTTATTACATAAATAAACAAAAAAAAAAGCAGCATGTGGAACATAGTTATTCCTCTTTATCAAAAGAGCATCTAAAAACTTTTCCAAATAGATTTTAAATGATTGAACTTTAAAATCTCTTTTCTTCTATAAAAAGTCGGTTACCCTTCTGATATCCTTTTTTTATTATTCAATCACGAGATACTATGTGAAAAGTTTTATTATTTTAATAACTAATGACTACAACCTACTCGAATTACAATCTATTGAGAACAATTTTTTTAATATAGTATATAATTTTTTTTGGGTAGCATAAAAATGAACGTCCTACATATAAGGCTAGTCAAATAGCCTTACTAATGCAGTTCCAAAAAAAAAATAACTGGAAATTTGAAGGGGTACAAAAAATTAGACTTAATCATGAAAAAGTCCAAAACTCGTTATGTTAAGTAATTATGTCCTTAATTTTAGATCTTAATTATGTCTAAGTACATAATTTGAAATTTTCATATTTTTCCTTTCACATTTGTGTCATCTCTTAAATTAGGCGATTATTTTTGAGAACCTTCTGAGTTTCAGCAATTGTATGTGCATTAAAAAATTCCTTATTTGATGGAAGATTTTATTCTTTCGTTTATTATGTGGAAATTAGACATTTTAAATTTTAAATTTTACCACATGATCATTAGTTGTCGTCTTCTTCTTCGGTGTTGAAGTCATTATCAGTGCAAAGCTGAAATAAAAGTTATATTTTTTATTCAATATCAACAATTGTCAGGTTTGAATTCATAACACCATTAGGTTTTTGTGGGTCATTTTAATCGTGATTATTCTTTTTTTTTCATAGTTTTTTTATCTCATTCAAGAACACCACAAATAGCTGTTAGTTTCAGACATAACGTTTTTTATTTTGTTGGACACCGAAGCGCAGCCTTTGTCACTAATTGTTTTTCCACATTGTTCATATTTTATCTAAGAACACCATATAAAGGCTATTTATACCAGATTGCATCATGTTTTTTTACTGCATTTTCTTGGTTTTCCCGGTATGCAAAATGTCTTGTTTGGTTGGATTTGTAATTTTGTCCATGTAGTGAAAAAACCTTTCTTGTTTTATTCTGTATCTATTTGTATATATGTTTTTTATTTTGTGTCTCATTGTATATATGTCTTTTAATAATTGAAAGGTGTTGCAATGGAGAAAACAGTGTTATTTTTATGTAAATACGGTAATGCTAAATGTAAAGGTTGAAATGGCACAACTTGAAGTAAAGAATAGAGAATTGATCGACCAGATTAACAAGTTGTCTGTGCATGTCATTACCCAACGGCTCCATAATCTGTCAAATTCAGTTCAGATTCATGGCATAACATCAGAAAGTGTTGAAGAAAAAGAACAAGTCCAAAACACAACATCAAAAGCAGGGTAATCTTCCATGGGTAGAAAGATCAAATTGAAATAGAGGAAGAGGAACAGATATGTAGATTATAAATACAGTGGGGAAAAAAGAGGAAAGAAACAAGATATCACATTGCCTGAATTGGGGAAAGGTAAAGGGATCGACGAAGTAAGAAACCAAATTGAATGTGAAATTATTAACATTGATGACTCAAATAGAGAGAACACTACACTGAAAGAACCAAGCAAGAGAGAAACTAATAGGTGGTGGAAAGTGTGCAAAGCATTGGGTCTCCAAGAATACAACACATTGAAGCGAATCCACGACTTGACAGGTGATAAGTACATATCAAATTTGGTAAAAATATAATATATATATAGAAAATAATGTAACACTATGTTGTCCAAAATATCTTGTTGTGGTATATGAATGTAATACATGTTTCATATTAGAATAAAAACGTGTGATGTGACTAATCCTATACAGTCATTATTGTCAATATTTTTTGTTAATGTGTTTTCTTGTGGTTATCAATTTGTAGGACTATAATATGGCATAGAAGAGGTATTGTAAGTTATATAGATGTCAAAGATGCAATTAAGTTGATGAATGGCTGTTCATTGTGCAACACGATATGTTTTCTGTTATATTGAATGTTTGATTACACTGGCCAAATATTTTATTTAAAATGAGTAATGCAACTTTGATATAATTATCATTTGAGGTTATTCAGATAGAATTTACAGAAAAATCATATCTTGTATTAGGTTATAGATTCTTGGGATGATATATTGCGGGAAATGAATGAAAACAATGAAACGTCCAGATTTAAGCGACGATGTTTTTTCTTCAACATTCTCTGTTGGGTAATTTAATTGATAATTAAATTTGAACAATTGCTATTAGTTTTTTGTGTGTAGAAAAATGTATTAATTTTCTTGTATTTCATTTTATAGTCTCTGGTAACTAATGATGATTTAGCACCTGCACGTAAATTGGAAATAGATGACCATCTATTGGTTGGGCAAGAATCACAATACCTAGTATTTCCAATGAACTTAAATGGTCAAAAACCTTCTCATGTTCCTTTCCACTGGACTTTGCTTGTGTTAGACACTGAAAATAGAATTTGGACACACTACAACTCCTTCAGGCCAAGGGAGAAAGGTGACATCGATGCTTGGCTTGAAGATGCAAAAATATTGGTAAACCGCAACAACATTATCATATATTGTGAATGTTTCAAAATCATTTCAATAACTATCAAGTTCATTCATGTAACAGAAAAATTATGTGGAGAAAAAGATTTCGGAGATTCAGACAGCAATGGGCATCCTCTTAGACACACAAGACAGAGTGCTACCCATCGTATCATGTGACAATTGCCACAACAAAAATCTAACTCGTACGTAATTCTTAGTTTTTTTTTGGAAGTCAATGCATATAATGATATTAACTGGACATACAACGCAGTGTCGACTGTGGTGTGTATATTTTCCACATAATGAAGAAGCTTGCAATAGGAAAAGCAGTAGAAGAACAATGAACTGCTGCACAGTTGAGAGAGTTCTGGGCAGAAATTGTGACAATGTTCTTGAACCATAAAAGTTCTTGGACCGAAGAAGGGTACAATGAATGAAACGACAATGAGAATAGATTTGCTGACAATGAATGGGAGTGTGTTTTGTAATTGAGCAGCTATTTAATTATGTTTATGATATGGGACTTTTGGCTCCTAACTAGTATTTTTTGGGGGTTAATTTTGTAGGTGGTTGACGTCTTGTAGTTATTTTATGAGTGGATTAGCTTAGTACAAGAACATTTATTTTTGGTCATCTAATGTTATATCTGATTAAGTACAAAATATTATTAGGTACATTGAGAACACGGGATAGAGTGATATTGTAATGTGATAGACTAATGTCACTATATATTTGTAATTCAGTAACATGTTAATGTGACTTTTTTAATTTCTCAAAACAACTGACATCATAACGAAGTCACAGTTTGAATATCTAGCCAATGTTACAAAAATACGAGGAATGACTATATTTCTAGTTTGTGATAGAGTGACATAGTAACGTGATATTTTATTTCAGCCTTAGAAATATTGTTGTGACATATAGGGGTTTAATTTTGTAAAGGGTTAATTGTGACTGTATCCTCAAAGTATTCATTTTGTCTAATTTTGGTCCCCAACCTTCTAATTACATCAAGTTGATCCCCAAAGTATTACATATGCACTTACCTAGTCCCTGCCGTTGATGCCGTCCAAAACTCCGTCTGTTCATAGTCATGTGCCATTCGCATGACCCAAGTGAAGGTCTTATATGAAACCACCTACCTTCTCTTCTCTTCCTACCTCGTCTTCATCATGCAGCTTGGCTTCACAATGCTCTGTGTCAGTTCAGTCCGCGCCAAGAACACCATGAACATGTGAGATTCCAATTGTCGATAAAACAGCTATTTTTCGAACAGGGTGGTCAGCGTCGCCGTGTATCCAGCCAAAGTCGTCGTGATAGTAGTCCTTTCGACTGTGCTTCATTGGCCATAAAATGAACTAATTTCTCCATAAGCTTTCAAGATGTTGAGAAATGAACCAGGATTTAAACCATACCAACCAAACCATAAGAGGAACGTCCCCAAAACCACCAGTGTCCCACTATGGCCACAGAGAGCCACCAGTTTGCCGGAAAGATCGAATAGACCAATACGCTGGCCTTCAATGAGAGCACCCCATAATCCAGCAATGCCTCCAACTATATGAACAACTCCAGAACTTGCGAAATCGATAACCCCAAATCCAAACAAAAGGTTATCAGTTCTTATAGCACTGACCCACCCATCACCGGACCAAAACCAATGAGACACAATTGGATACACAAAACCAATCAAGAACGATGAGTAAACCAAATACACCATGAACTGTGTTCTCTCTATGATTGATCCACTGGTAATCCCAGCAACTGCAATGGCAAAACTCCATTGATAGAGAAAGTAACTGTAGTCAAAAAACGAGGAAGGAATGTGTTTCAAGCAAAAGAAGTGTTTTCCAATGAACCCATTTGATGAAAGCGAAGGCGAATCCAAAGAGGTAGTAGAAGAGGCCGCTAGCGGCAGCATCAATTACGTTAGTAAGCATGATGTTCATGGTGTTCTTGGCGCAGACTGAACGAGCACAGAGCATTGCGAAGCCAAGCTGCATGATGAAGACGAGGTAGGAAGAGAAGAGAAGGTAGGTGGTGTCATATAAGACCTGGGGAATGCGGATGACACGTGACTATGAACAGACGGAATTCTGGACGGCGTCAATGGCGGGAACTAGGTAAGTGCATATGTAATACTTTGGGGACTAACTTGATGCAATTAGAAGATTGAGGACAAAAATGAGACAAAGTGAATACTTTGGAGACCACAACCGCAATCTTATTCTTCGCTTCCTTGGTCGCCCAGGCTACTTTTTTGTCAATGACAACAATATATCAACATCTTCAACGGAAAAATCTGGGCGACCAAGTGTAGGCATTTAGAATATCGGTTCAGCATACGACTTCCTGTAAGTGATCACATGATAGTAATAATTAACAAATTCATTTATATTTTGATCGCTCTTTCGTATGGTAGATACTGAATATGAATAAGGGAACTCATTAATCTGTCATTGATGACATGTGCACGTGCCATATAGAATGTCAACAGATACCGAAGAGTATGAATTCACTTTCGTACACATCATTATTTGAATACGTACAAACCAAGACCTTCCTTCATTAAATGCAATCTGTAATGTTGCATCCATATTTGGACATAAATTACCATTCTAATTTGATGATGTCTTCATCCTACCACCCATCAGATTCATAAGCTGTCCTCTTATAGTGTCAATCATGCTAGTAATCGGTATATGTTGTGCTTTTGTAATCCAAGCATTGAAAGACTCAGCTGCATTAGATGACAATTCACCATAACGATTACCTTTGAAATGAACATTGGCCCAATGTTCATATGGGAGGTTTGCCAGAAACTTGTCAACATTAGGGTCACCTCACGCCTTAAAGAACTAATCTTGTCATTGAATAAAGGAATTGTCGGTGCATAAGCACATTCACATAGCAAATATACAATATGCTTCCTGAATGTGTTGGAAAAACGCCCACCACTAAATTTGTCCCTCAAATTTGCCTTCAAATGCTGCAAGCAAAAAGCGTGATGCACATTAGGAAAAACTTTTGGCATAGCCTCCAATAAGCCAACGTTCTGATCAGAAATGAACGTAATCTCCCGTGTATGATCCACAATCTCGTTAAGCTGTTGTAGAAAACATAACCAATTTGACTCATTTTCAGAATCAACCACCGCAAAAAACTAGTGAGAATAAACTTGAAACATATATTATAATAATTTGTAATTCTGCTTAAACCGTAAAAATGAACAAAATAGTGACAACAAAGAATAACAAGAAACAAAAAAAAGTAACACTAAATCTGTGTTGAATTGTTATTTTCCAAAAAAATAAGTGTACCTTGGTTTCCATCTTTGCCAGTTGCAGAAAGAATATTTCCTTTATATCTATCTTTCAAAAAAGTTCCATCAACAAATAATAATAGACGACAATAATTAAAATCATCGATGCATGCCTTAAATGACACGAATAACCTCTGAAAACGATTAGACTCTTGATCACAATCTAAAACTAAATGGCTGTAAGGGTTGGTACTATTCACAGCATCAACATACCAACGTAATTGTTGAAACGATAAATTATGATCACCAAAAAGCATTCCTCTTGCCTTTTCAACACTCATCCATGTTCGATCATAAGATATTGTTAGACCATAATCCAAATTAAAATCATTGACAATTTCAACGGCCCGAGTAAAGCTCTTTTCGCGAACGTGATCAACTATTAATTCTGCAATCAGATTAGAACTGAGCCGCTTATTTTGTACTGTACGTAGAGCAACCCCACATGTGTGTTCGTCATGTAATTTTCTTATGTAGAAAATATCATTTACCTTCTGGAGAATTGCATTAATACACCACCCTACATCCAGTGGAATATTTTGAAGCACACTCGGCGATAACCCGCTCTTTACAATTCTTAGCATAATTAAATTCAAATCCAACTTCGACTGAGTATTTGCAAAGTGCATTACGAAACTGTGACATACCACCTTTAAGCTTTTGTCCCTTATGATGAATTTCATTTACCTAACCAGATGAGAGTAAAACTTTCCCACTATGCGAACTAAACCGAGGCAACAAGCCTTCCTCTTAATCAAATCTAACATCATGTAATTCAACATCTTTAATAAAATCAATATCATCAATAACAAGTGACTCGTCATCTCGCACAAGACAGTCATATCAACATACTTCACTGCGATACATCTCACCAAATCAAACATGTTCTTCATATCTATATCATTGCGCAAAATACAATTCGAATGCTTAGGGATAGAGTATTACAACCCAACAACAACATTTGTCAAACAATCCCATGTGTCACGGATCCCACGCACAACGTCTTCTAACGTTGAACCCACACAAAATCAGAGGACTGATGTCTCATTACCGAATTTGCATATCGTCATTACAGTATCCTCCATTGTTCTTCATGTTAATAATTTTAACAAGAAAAAATAAAAAATCAGTCAACACAATACGAAAATACTGTGACATGAATATGAAAGATAAACACCATATGCAATTTCTATAACAATAAATTATTAAGTGAAAAAATTAGCAACATCATTCACATACTGGAATACATAGTCCCTTTGAATAAAAAAAGAATGTCAAACCAAGTTTTTCCTGGGTAAAGTTTAGTCTTCAAATCAAAGAAGTTTAACAAATGTTATTTGAAATAATTATATGAACATGCATGACACCAACTGATTGTGTAATAATTAGAAAACAGGAAAAAAAAACCAAGAGCCTGACTTGAGGACATACTAGAAAATTGATGAACCTCTTGAAGAAGACTAATGATACTTATCGGTTGCTATATGAAAAAAATAAATTTGAAAAATGAAGATATGAAAAAACAAAAATATTTACTGCCAAAAATTTTGTAATCTTTTTAAAATTCAAACGTTTGATTGCCCATTGAAATAGGAAACCACTCATTTAATAAAAACAGAAAACAAAGAAAAGGAAACTACTAGATATTGCCTAAAATAAGCAAAGGGCATTTAGGTACTACTAAAATATGAAATTATGTACCTATCCACCAAATATTTTATAGAAAATATACTTACAAACTTAAAAGTTTGGGCAATGTACTTTTCCAGGAATATTTTCAAAAAAATGTACTCTCCCACAATTTTCTCAATAAAAAATGGATAAATTGTAAAGAGGTATACCAAATTAGACTTATTTGGCAAAAAGTACACACTAAAAAATATAGGGTTATTAAGTATTTAATTTTGATACTTATTTGTATCCAAGTACATAATTTGAATTTATCTATTTTTATTATGACATTTTTGCCCTCCATCAATCCATGTGTATTTAATGCACCACTATTCTTTGGAAAGTGGTGCATTAAACATCTCCTAATTTTATAGGAGAACTTTACATGAATACAAATTTTGAAATTCAAACAAGTATTTATATACGTGTGTATATATATATATATGTATGTATATACTTGTTGTTAAATCTCTTATCTAAATTTTGAATTATCTTTTAATGCACCTTGATTCATGCATTTTTTTTAGAAAGTGATTTTATTTTCAAATTAATTTAATATCCAAATAGTGTAACAGTGTAACAATATAAAGTGTAACAGTATAACAATAAAAGTGTAATAGTGTAACAATAATAGTGTAATAATCTATTTACACAAAATATTGTACTATTACATTTTATCAACATACAGTTTTATATAATTTCATTCAAAATAGTTCATCTCCGTTTTGAATTTGTTACTATATATTATTACACTGTTGTTGTTATACTATTACATTATTCGGATATTAAATTAATTTAAAAATAAAACTATTTTCTAAAAAAAAATGCTTGAATCAAAGTGCATTAAATATAATTTGAAAACAAAATCACTTTTAAAAAAAAAAAATACGCATGAATCAAAGTGCATTAAAAATAATTTAAAATTTAAATAAGAGATTTAATAACAAATATAGACTTGTTTATCCTTTTTCTCCCCTCGGATTTTTGGAGGAGGTTCCAGATGAACTGGGTTTCCTAGTGGCCATGAGGTTCCTGCAAAAATTCACGGGTTAGGAAATCAGGGATATAATTATTTTCTCCTTTAATATATTCTATATCAAAATCGAAAATACTTAAAATAGATTGCCATCGTGCAAAAATTTGCTTAGTATATATATATATATATATATATATATTTTAACAAATACACATGAATTAAAGGTGCATTAAATACGTATTTATATGTATTAACAAACACACATGAATCAAGCTATATTAAAGATAAAAATTTTTGAATTAAATGACCCTAAAATGAGCATTTATGTTTTTTTAACTCATATTTTGTTCTATAAATTTTTTGTCAAATAAGTTTAATTTGGTATACCTACTTCCAAAGAACCCACAAAAAATAGCCGGAAGAAAACTTTAGACCGTGCACGGGCCAAGAATCAATTACGACGTCTCCAAGCCCACCATTTTCAGCCCACCATTAGCTCTGGTGGTGCTGTAAATTGTCCTTCACGCGCGTGGCTTTAGCACGCTCTTGTCATTCTCCGTCCCCATATAACTTCTCAGCTAAGCATGGTTAGGGCTTGACTCCGAACAAGTTATCTACTCCAAATCTCCAATCTCCGATTCTAACCCTAAGATGCCTCTCTGAGCGAACATTATTTTCTCTCTCTGTCTCTCTCTCTCTCTCAGATCTCTCATTTCAAATCCATGGACGAATCATACACCAACCTCCCTACCAGCCACTTGCTTGGTTCAGTCCCGGTACGCACTGTTGATCATTTCAGCTTAATAAATGCACGCCTCTGTGTGTGTGTTGTTTGATAATGAATTTGCCCTAATTATTGACTATTTGTACTGTTCTTTACAATCAGCATCGTCAATGTCTATCTGTGTGTGTATTGTTTGACAATGAATTTGCCCTTTTGACCAAAAAAAAAAAAATTGCCCTAATTATCCATTATTTATATTGTTCTTTACAGTCAGCATCGTCAATGTCTATAGTTTGATGGCATTGTGATTTAGTGAAGTAAACAAAGCTAATTTTCCAAAAAGTAAATGTGAGTTATTTGATTGACTGTGGCCCTAGAAATCTAAAGCCTGCAATTGACTGTGCCTCATAAATATATTTTTGTATCGAGTTACTTTAACGGCGTGACAAATTGGTTTGCTTCTATATAGGGTTATTGCGTCTTCTCTCAACCCAAATACCTGGTGTTCGTTCTAATTACCAGTTATAGATTACCATTTGGAAATAGTTTTTGAAAAATATATTTGATAAAGGTCTCATGGGCTGGATTAATTATGTATCTATTGCATGTTAACGTCTTTGAAGCTACATTAAGTTCAGTTTTTTGTGTTAATCTATTATAAATCACTTGCGTATCAATTTCAAGAGCAACTTATTTGGTAGGTTATGAAATTGGCTTCAACATGCATACTTGCCACAGCTGCTTAATTAGTAGTTTTGGTACTATTTGATTGTTAAGGATTTTTTGTTTTTTAATAACTTCTGGTTTGTAACAGGCAGTTGTCAGTGAAGAAAAGATTACCACAAACCACGAGAGTACGAAGCTCTTAATAGAAATCCAGTGAAGTGTTTTCTTGGTTTTATTTGCATATGAATCGAACCATTTTTTCACCTGCTCTTTAAATTCTCTGCAGCTCTGGAAGCAAATTTGCAAATATTTCCTCCAAATAACATTGGAGGTGGCGGCCGGGGGTATCAAACACTTGGAGGTCCAAGTGGTATAAATTATTACCAACTCGTATGATCTTTTCCTCGTGCTAGTTTAATGAGAATATGGCCAAGCTTAATCATGGAATCTATTCTTAATGTTTCATGTTAATTGATAAAAGTTCTTGTTCGTTTAGTTCTATCAAGTTCCTCACTCACACCAAGAATATACACACACACAAACACATATTCTTTTGGATAGGAAAAACCAGTCCCCCACCGCCTGCCAAATGATGCAACTTGTGTACACCTAAGAAGTATGGACACAGATATGACACGACACGGACATACCGATATGAAATTTTTCAAAGAAGTAGGACACGAATACTTTGACTATACGTGAAATAATATGTATTTATATATGTAAATATTTATCTATAATTATGTGATAAAATAAAAATATTATCATAATAATCTTTTAATTCAATAATTCTAAAAATTCACATCATGATACCATTTCATGAAAAGTACAATATAAGATATACCGATACATATTCAACATTAATATCCATGATCTAACAATCAATGATTACTGTAACTTTTATTTTAAAAAATATTCCACTTCGTAACACTAATTTTCATAAATTTCAACAAGTCCCAATTTTGTAACTCTATTTTTTCTCACATTTCTTTCATATAAAAAGTTTATTCCATTTGTATATAAGTTTGTATTCGTATTCAAAATTATGTTTCATTCACGTCTTATGATCAATGTAGTGATTATGACTTCTTTTATATATGACTTTGACTCACATCTCCTTAAAATTACAAAAATAACTATTAATTATGAGGTCATCTAACATGCTCTCAAAAAATTAAAAAAAAAAACTCAAAACGTGTCGGTCGTGTGCATAGTTATTAAATCGAGATTTGTATCGGGAATTAAAATCCTAGATTCGAGAATCGGGAATTGTATCGAATCGGGAGTCGTGAGCTTCGACACAAAATTCAAACAATGATAAAAAATAACATGTACATATTTGAAAATAGGCAAGATATTAAATATTAAACATTATTATCCTTTAAAAATAATAAATTGATGGTATTGAAATGATCATATCATCTAAATGGTAGCTGTTTTTTAAGAAGAAGAAGAAGAAGAGGAAGAGGCATACTGGAGTAAAAGAGATGTCTTTATGTGATATTGAACAGTTTTTTGAGAGGCAGAGGCGTGAACAATAGATACAAAGAAAGATGCGAGTTTATTTGAGGGTGGACCTCTTCTAGTAAAAACAACGTCGTTCTACTAGAAATAGGGTAAAAAAAATAATAAAACGAATCATGCGATTCCTTCAATTGGACTCGAATCGTACAATTCTTACGATTCAGGTGCGATTTTGGGCAAAAAATGATTTTATAGTAAAATACGAATCGAATGGGGAGTAAATCGAATCGAATCGAATTATATGAATTGAATCACGAATTGTACGATTTTGATAATACTGGTCACGTGTCCCCAACATGTCTAAAGCGTGCCATGAAAAAAATTCAAAAATAAAAAAATTAGATACTCATTTTAATGTGTTTGACACGTGTCCGAGCATGTCTGAACCTTGTCCATGTCTTAGACGTATCTGACATCGACACTCTGCCTAAAATAAGTGTTCGTGCTTCCTAGGTGTACACGTGATACATACACACAAAGGGGGGAATGAAAAAACAAAAACAAAAACTATATCAATGCCCCTATTTTACTTGACAAATCAGTCCAATAATTAACTCCCTAACCATGTTATTCTTCACATGAATGTTTTATCGCTTATGTCAGGTTGAGGCCCTATATCAATTGCAATGATATAGCTTTTCTTGGCCTAAATCATATTGCTCAAGGCAGCTGCATGCGTTCTTCAAGATAGAGAACCAGCAGCTTTAAGGGCTGTCTTCTTGTATTTTAGGAGTCATTAACAGGGTAAAAAAGCTTATCTTTAGGTACAGAATACAGAGAGGCAGAAGTCTCGACTTTGAAGGTGCCAACTTCTTGAGACCTCAGTAATCTCAAGGAGAAGATGTAGCAACCATAGGCAGAGGATATTGAGGGTCGTTGTGGAGAAGGTCTCTTACTAGATAGAAATGTTGAATTATGTTATATGTAAACTGTTCCAGTGTTGTTCAAAAAAAAAAAAATTTTTTTTCCAGTGGTTAAGCTTGTAGTCCTTGGGCTCAGTATTTCAAGATCTGGATTTTTTTGCTGTGTCTAAAATGTGAATGTTGCTTGATGATCATGGGTTGCTTTGTGGGCTTCCAATTTCCCACAGTTCCCTTTAGCCATTTCCCCAATGAAAGGCACTGACCTATCTCGATGACCTTCCCACTTAATAAATTTGATGACTCCTGCATATTTTTAATTTTGAGATGAGAGTTTTTTTGCTGGTAAATCTGATGTTCCTAGAGTGAATATCACCTGGGATGTGTAGTTGCTTACCATAAAGTTAATTTCTGATGTTCATAACAAATTCATAGTGTTAACATTGGTCCCGGTTTCCTTTGCTTTCACAGTTACTTGTTAGTAGCAAAGCAGTACACCTGAATGCGAGCTGATACATATTTACGTGTAATAGGTGCTAATATTTTTCCAATCTGTCTCTTTCTGCAGAGAGGGATGGACAACAATCGACAGACAACTGGAAGGGGGTATTTAGCATCTCATCATACACGCAGTATTTTAATGTAGATACAGACATTGTCTTGAACAGATTGATGAGTTCTTTATATCCTATCAGTGGAGATTTTTTCAGCAAGATTGATGCTAATCCTGATCTGTGAGTTGTGTACTTTTTATCTTCATATGTACATATATATGTATATGACAATCTTTTTAGCAGTTTATTTGTGTTTGCTCTGTCTCATGAACAGTTTGTCTGAAGAGATTTTTTCGTATTCGTTTGCCTCTAAATCTTTGATGTTAAGCTCCAAACGTGGCTAAATTTATGATGTGATGATAAGTTAGCTGCAAATAATTGGTGATAATCTTTGTGAAGTCTGAACTGAACATTTCTACTTGGGAGAAAAAGAATCAATATGCTTAGCAATGTTGAATAACTATAGCTTCTCATTTCTCTCACAAAAGAGTAGCTTATTTAATTTCTGAATGACTTGTTTAAAGAGATAACAACGAACTAGACACCATTATCATCTTGATATGGGTATGGAGTGATTTTGGCTGTTCATGAGTGCTCTCCAATCTCCAGTAAACTTAGTGGTTAGTGTTATGCTTCCATTTTCTTATATGTTTGTTACTGTTTGTCTGAATAAACTTGCATAAAAAAACAGATTACATTGATCACGTACTTGTATGTGCAAAAATAGATTCTGCGAACCCTGTTTGGTGGAATACTAATGGCTATTAATTATTTTGTTCCTCGTATTTAGAAAAATAACAAAATGAAAGGCCATATTTCTTGTATGCAATGTCATAGTAACTCTGCAGATCTGCATACCATTCTGGATAGATGAAAGCATAGGCATATAGAGGTAAAACGGCCACACCAAGGTGAAAGAGAATAATGAAGAAACAGTTTTCAGCTTTCAAGTTGGTAACACATTTAGATATTTTGGCCAGTTTGTATCCCAAGTAAGTATATATGAAGACTATGTGTTGGTGTAAGTTATTTTGTGCCAACCTGCTTTATGTATCTTTTAACTAGGAAGTTTGATCTTTTTCCTTTTGGTTTGCGGGGAGGTCAGATTGAACCTGGCTGTTCACAAGTTTCATCTAAAAGCTGCCATTGGTAATTGATTATTAGTTATGCTGTTCTCCCTTCATACCCCCCACCCAAAAAAAAATAAATATCCTACACACACAACACAAACAAGAAAAAAAGAAAGAATAAGGAGCAACCTCTCCAGCTTCCTTAAGGAGAATGACAATGCTGTAATGTGTGTAGATATGATTTTGTACAACCACTTGTCTATACATATTCTAATTTTCAATTTATTCATAATAAAGTAACTGTGAATACTCATTTCTGTAATCTATTTTGGAATTTGTTTCCTGCTATCTGGGTGTAATTGTCCCAACGTATGTTATTGGCTTGTTGGTACTGACTTTTCCCTGTTTCAGCTATGGGCTAGTCTGGATCTCCACTACTTTGGTATTTATGCTTGCTTCCCTTGGAAATAGTGCCACGTACTTGATACGCAAAAGAAGTGACACCACTACTCCTTGGAACTTTGATGTCAGCTACGTAAATGTGGCTGCTGGCTCAATATTCGGCTATGCACTCATTGTGCCTATGGGATTTTACTTCTTGCTTCAGTATCTGGGATCAAATGCCAGTCTTGTACGCTTCTGGTGCATGTGGGGATACTCCCTCTTCATCTTCATTCTCAGCTCTGTAAGTATCCATCATGTGTATGAGCCAATGATATTTTTCCCCGCCAATGTAGGTTCCTCAAATGACCACATAAACCCACAAACCTTGGGAGGAGGAATACAAGAGAAAACAAGGAGAAATAAGAAGAGAAAGAGAGGAAATTTGTTCCCAAATACTTATCTTTATGGTTGTGAAGGCTTATAACCACCATACAATATTTAGTGCAAGTGTTACACAAAACAGCCATTTGAACTTCATTTGGCTTGACCAACAGGTCCTTCATTTAGTGTACAGTGTACCTTGGTACAAGATCGAAAATAGTGCATTGCATTTCAAGTGAGATGCCAAAGAGAATTGCCTTAATATAGCTAGGTTCTGCTGTAACCCAAGTCATATTGGCATAGCTTCTAAGAGGTGTTGGGGCGAAGGGTTTGATTCATATTTTCAGGATGAAGTTAATTCTTGCATGCAATATTGTAATATTGTGTGATCCTCTGATACATTGTCCTGGAAAATCTGCAGTTTCTGTTGGTTATCCCTGTCGAGTTTCTCCGGTGGACCATCATAATCATCAGTGGTGCTGCCTCAGCTGGCTTTGTCTCTCTGAACCTTAAGTCCTATGTGGAGGGAAATGATCTTACATTGGTTTTAGTTGCCGCATTTGTCTTGCAATTGGGTCTTGCAATTTTTATCAAGATGTGGTTCTTCCCTTAAGCTAATAACTGAATTGGAGTCCCATCAGCAGGCAAATTTTTGATTTAGCGTGTAATTGGTCTGTGTGTTTTAGCGTACTGCAGTGGATGGTTATTGGCACTAGAATGGAGAGTGTCTTCTTAGAAAAATAACTAATGTGATAAAAAAAAATAGGGGTGATTTTGGTGGTGGTGGTTTTTTTTTGGTGAGTAATAGTAAATGTTTTGGTTGCTGTTGTTGCTTCATGCTTGTCGGGTTGCAGGAAAAGGTTAACATCATTATTTTTGAGCATTTTGTTTTTTAATTGCCCTTTTTTCATATGAACTTTGGTTATTGTAAATATACAGTGTTATCAGAAAACATGTTTCAGTCTCTCTCTCTCTCTCTCTCTCTCTCTCTCTCATATGTGTTCATGTGTTGAAATTGGTGGTTGACACGGGGTTCGTGTATTAGATTATGCTTAACTCTATCCAGAGGATGGACCTCCTTGTTAACCATCTGTTTTGTATCGGTGTGATCTATTTTATGCAAAATGCTTATATGTATGTAACATCAGTTTGTCCACCAAGCTTTTGGTCAGGATTTTGCGGGTGAAACACAAGACATGTTTATTTGACCTGTCTGTGATGTGAGATAGGGGAATAGCCCACCGTTATTGACATCTTTTACTGAAAGGTTATCAAAGTTGCCAAAAACGTTCAATGAAGTCCATCTAAGAGAATGGAATATCACGAGTTTCGAGGGTCCCTGCACTTTGAAGAACCAGGTGTAATTAACAATTCCTCTTATGGAACTATGGGTCTATGTTTATCGGTAATACTACCTTTAATTCTAGTCTTAGACCCAATCTCCCATGAAATCAAATGGTGTTTCCTTCCCCAATAGATTTCTACGTAAAATTACGTGTATCGTGTTTGTAATTGTCTCTTTCATATTCCATAAAAAAATTCCTTCTCATACCCTCAATTCTCCTTGCCAGCAAAGAAGGTATCTTAAAGAGAGATAAGAAATAAATAAGAACATTAGCCAATACTAATTGAACTAATGCAACTCTTCTACCTTTAAAAATAAAACTTTCTTCCGTCCATCTAACCTTACCAATTTTTTCAATAACCAGATCCCAAAATCCAAGGATAAAGAATTTTCATCCCACACTTCCCGCATGACACCCCAAAACCCCCTGCCAATCTACTAATCTTCCCCTCATTGGAATTAATTTCAACAATTAAACTTTTATCCATGTTAATCTTAAGACTCTAACACCACACCAAACACATCAATAATATTTTTAAGATTTATAAACCTCTCTTCATCCCGCCAGGAGAAGAATATGATATTTGTTATAACTTTTATAATGTATCACTCAAGTGTACGCTATCGCAAAGTAATAAAACTTGGAAATCCAAAGTCGTACCACAAAGAATTGATGAATAATTCAGAATACAAAGAAAAATATAAATAAAATTGCTTTTGAAAGTAGTTTGAAAAAGTTGAATTTAGAAACAGTGAATTCTGGGTTTGAAACAACTCAAGCATTGGGGATCCTCTTCCAATTCCACAATATTTATTCCTAATCTAGTTTTCGAAATCAATTAAAAATCAGACAGTAAGTGATCTTAATCAAAAGATTTAACAGTGATAATATAGAAAAAAAATCCAAAAAATACAATAAATAAATTATTTGAATAAAAATTAATATTTAATTATAGATCACAAACATTCAATGTACTCGTAGTCGACAATGAATCAAGTCCAATAATTAAAATCTTTTTTTATCACAAACAAGATCAATTATTTTCATGATAATTCTAATTAATTAATTCAAACATGCAAAACCAGTTATTTGACTCACAAAAAATCTAAAATATTCCTTGTACGTGACCCAACGAATTAAGAGATTTTAAAGCAAAAACCTTACTTAAAGACATGAATTAATTAAAAAAATCATACATTATAAAACAATGGATCAAAAAAAAATATTGTGTAGCTTTATTTGGGGATTTTAGTAATCCATAGAACAAAACAAAAACAAAAACAAAAACGAGGGAAAAGAGAGGCTAAAGGCAATATATATTCCCCAGTTAGCGTTTACAAGTATTTGTACATTAATCAGAATCAAAGACTGAATGCAAGGAACACGCGCCCGGCACACATGACCTCTTCTTGTAGACTTCATCATCCGTGTCTAGACGCGCATTTCATGCGTCCGAATACACCAACTTCGCTAGAAATCACTTCCAAACGTGGATTACGTCCGAACGTGGATAATCCTCAAGAAATTGCGTCCGAACGTGTGGAACTGGAATTTTCTTCTCTTCTTCATTTCAAACATTCCAAGTTTTCTCCATTTTGCATATTTTCCCTATAACTTTCCTATTTTGACATATTTACTTGAAAACAAACAAACACTATAGAAATAGGGTTAAAATATAAAATTCATCATTCATGCACATTTAAATTCCAATCTGTTGCAATTAACCAACAAATAATGACACAATTATGTATATTTCATAGCTAATCAACATCAGTTGCAAGCTGAAAATGCGACACAGATACCCTCTCACTGCCAACTAAAAACCCTCTACAAGATTACTTCTCTTTGCCATCAACATTAACCTATTCAATCATTCCACAATAAGGGTAAAAAATGAGGGTGATAACGTATCACCCTGTTTGAGTGCCGCACACTGATGTCTACAAGTCAAAATCTGAAGGTTTGAAAATAATGGGAATGATAAGAATCTAAAGTGTATCAACATTGGTTCGTACCTCTTTCAAAACGCGTTGAACAGTGCTGTTAAGGTCGCCTTTCCAGAACCTTTTCAACCACCCTATGAATTGATATGTAGCTTTGGTGTGACTAGGAGCCCTGAAGAGAAGGCCTGCATCTTGGGACAATTTTCCAACGTCACTTTTGTTAAGGATGGCCATTCCAAAGTATGATTTCCCAAGTAGAAACTCTTGAGGTTTGGTAGATGTACAAGTTCAAGAGTGTGAACATTAGGGAAGACAAGTTTTCCTGAAGAATCTTCTCCTTGTTCCAGGACCTCTTCCACTAAATCACATTCTCTTACAACAAGCTTGCCCAAATTGTGTAGCATTGGGAGTAATTTGGATGGTACAACTTTTAACAAATTGTTACATTCACGCACTGTTAGAACATTCAGTTGATTAAAGCAATCTACTGGAAGTTCGTTTTGCCATATCTTTTTCAGGTTGTCTAGTCTCTGAAGACTCAAATCCGTCAGGGCGTGAAGTACAACCTGCCAATGTACGTTATATTAACACATGAATGTTCATAATTAGACAAATACTATAAACTTCAAGGAGAGAAAAGGAACTAGAAATTACGTTATGCCTGATTAATATATAGGATAAGAAGAATCATCAATAGTAATTAAAACTTTGAACAATTCACACTTTCTTCACCCGTCACATAGGCATTTTCACAGTCATGTGTTGGGCTTGAGAAACAGGGAAGGAAAAAAACACAATTGCCCAAACAAAAGAAATAATAAATAGATTACGAGATTTACTAATAAAAAAATTTCCTCCTAAATTGCCATAACTTTTTGCTTGTATGTATCAGTCTCAATTTCTGTAAAAAATGAAAAAGGGTATATCTGACTTCAAGTTTGGGTCCAATCAGGTTCAAGTCAATTTCTCACTACTTTGGTTTGAATTTAATGCAAGTAAGAAATAGTCAATTCAGTATTTTTCATAGACAGGTGGTAAGTGAAGTAGAGAAGAACTAGGGACCACATTTAGTATTGGTTACATGTCACATTTGCCATCCTGAAAATTGATCGTCCTATGGAACTGGTAAATCAATATAGATATATGATAATTTTTCTCCCAAGATTTCTCTTTGTATACATAAGTAGTTTAGAGAGAGAGAGAGAGAGAGCACGTACCTTTTCATTGAAAAATGGTTGTATGGTGACGCTAGAGTTGCCTTCTTGATCTATTTGTCCCTCCAACCCTTCTTCACTTGTTTCTTTTGGCCTTTTTGTGCTTGAACCAACAAATGTTTGCATCTTGGGACATTTTTCAATCACAAAAATTTGCAAAGAGTGAAACTCTAAAGTACAATTCCCTTGGTAGAAGCTTGTGAGTTCTGGCAATTGAGAGAGGCAAAGGCCAAATAATTTAGGGAACACAATCATGTCACCGACCACTGCATCTTCCTCTCTTTCGGTTGCTATTATCTCTTTCATCATGTCACATTCTTCTAACTGAAGCCATTGAAGTTGAATAAGAAGTTTCTATGCGGTAAAAGAGAGAAGATATCTCTGACATTTGCATCCTCCAATAGTAAGATGTGCGAGATTCTGGAAGTTAAGAGATTCTGGGCAGACCATGTTCCACCATACATCCTTCAAGCTTGATAAACCCAACAATTGAAAGTACTTTATCCTTGGTAGTGTTACTGAAGTTGCATTATGTCCTTCACATAGGTCCTCCAACAAATCACAATAAGAAACAAATAAATATACCAAATTTTGTGACAATTCTCCCAAACTTGATGGAAAAATTGTTATTAGGTTTTCACAGTAGCTTATTGACAGTTTAGTCAATCTGTTGAAGTTCCCGCCAGGAAGCAATTGTTCGTGCCATATCTTTTCCATTTTGTGCAGTCGACTGAGATTCAAGCTCTCCAATGCGGGAAATACAACCTGCGTGCGAAATTACATTATTCATCAATCTTAATAAAAAAAAAAAACTTGTGATTTGTCTTGTTAGCATTTTTACAGTTATTTGGCAGGCTTGAGGAACAAGGACATACAACCACCAAGTGACCCAAACAAAGGAAATAAGAAATAAAGAAATAGACATTACTAATAAAAAAATTTCCCCATATGAGTCGTGAGAAATGAAGAAAAATATTGTTGACTTCAATTCTACAAAATCGCTTTTTAGTAACACATTTCATGGTCACACACCTTTCCATCGAACAACAGAGGTTCATGTGCTCGGATATGAGGACTGCTTTCTGAAGCCGAAGCCGAACTCTTTGTTTGCAGCTAAAAATTTCACATTTAATGGCATTTTTTATGATACGGCTAAAAAATTTACTTTTAGTGGCAATAATTAAATGTCATAACTAAATGATTTAGCCATGCACATATTACCGCGGCCTAGTGGCAATAAAAATATTGTCACTAAAATATATAGTGATAATTTTATGCATTTAGTCGCAATAATTTTCGCTGCTAAAAGACAAATTTCTTGTAGTAACACTGGCATATTGATAAATGGTTGGCATAGGTTCTAGGGTGAAGGTCATGTTTTCAGGATGAAGTTAATTCTTGCATGCAATATTGTAATATTGTGTGATCCTCTGATACATTATCCTGGAATATATGCAGTTTCTGTTGGTTATCCCTGTCGAGTTTCTCCGGCGGACCATCATAATCATCAGTGGTGCTGCCTCAGCTGGCTTTTTCTCTCTGAACTATGTGAAGGGAAATGATCTTACATTGGTTTTAGTTGCCGCGTTTGTCTTGCAATTGGGTCTGGCAATCTTTCTCAGGGGTGATTTAAGGCAATCGGAGGTCTAAAGCGAAAATACTAAATGAAGTTTTTTTTATTTTTAATATTAATTTTTTAAAAAATTAATTTATTTTCAATTTATTATATGAGAGAGACCTAAGAAAGACGAGCTAGTGTTCTTGAAAAAAATATTTCAACTTTTTTTTTTTTGTTTTTTATCGCAAAGGGAGTTTAATTTTAACTCTATTTTAATGTTTTGTACTAATTTTTAGAGAGAGAGAGAAGGGGTAAATATGAGTTGACTTCTAAGTAATTTTTATTTTTTCAACTTATGATTTTTAAATTTCTAATGTTATGAATTGAATTATGGACCCAAATTATTACAATAAAAATGTTGATTGTATTTAATATTTTGTGGCCTTTTTTTTAGGATTTAATTTTCTTTTAGGTTAGTAGTGTACCTAAAAATTTGGGGTCTTCTAAAAATTTAGGACCGAAAGCCCATGCTATTTTTTTAATGTTGTTGAGCCGGCCCTTATCTTTATCAAGACGTGGTTCTTCCCTTAAGTCCTATGTAGAGAGAAATGATCTGTGTTGAACCGTACTGCAGTGGATGGTTATTGGCACTAGAATGGAGTGTCTCTTAGAAAAATAACTAATGTGATAAAAAAGAAGAGGTGATTTTGGTGGTGGTGGTTTTTTTTGGTAAGTAAAAAGTAAAACGATTTGGGGTGGTCTTGTTGCTTCATTCTTGTGGGGTTGGTTTTCTCTGAACTGAGTACTGATGGTTTACAGGTTTTAGGAGATCAATAGCATGAAAGGTTAACATCATTATTTTTTAGAATTTCGATTTTCAATGGACCTTTTTTCATATGAACTTTGGTTATTATAAATATACATCGTTATCAGAAAGCATGTTTCAATTTCTCTCTCTCTCTCTCTCTATCTCCCTTACGTGTTCATGTGTTGAAATTGGTGGTTGACACAGGGAGTGCCACCATTAGATGCTTAACTCCGTCCAAAGGATGGACCTCCTTGTTAACCATCTATTTTGTATCGGTGTGACCTATTTGATGCAAAATGGTTATATATGTATGTAACATGAGTTTGTCAACCAAGGTTTTGGTCACGATTCTGCAAGTGAAACACAAGACATGTCTACTTAACCTGTCTGTGGTGTGAGATAGGGGAATAGCCCACTGTTATTGGCATCTTTTACTGAAATGTTATCAAAGTTGTCAAAAAGTTCAATGAAATCCATTCAAGAGAATGCAATATCACGAGTTTCAAGGGCCCTTGCACTTTGAAGAATGAATTGCAATTAACAATTCCTCTTATGGATCTATATGTCCATGTTTGCCGGTAGTACTACCTTTAATTCTAGTCTTCGAATCAAATGATGTTTCCTTCCCCAATAGATTTCTATGAAAAATTGCGTGTATTGTGTTTGTGATTGTCTCTTTCATATCCCATAAAAAAATTCCTTCTCACCCCCTCAATTCTCCTTGCGGGCAAAGAAGGTATCTTAAAGAGAGATAAGAAATAAATGAGAATACTAGTCAATATTAATTGAACTAATGTGACTCTTCTACCTCTAAAAATAAAGCTTTCTTCCATCCATCCAACATTTCTCAATTTTCTCAATAGCCGGATCCCAAAATCCCAAGGACATTGAATTTTCAAGCCCCAAATACTTGAGAGGCCACACTCCCACATGACACCCCAAAACCCCACCAACCTACTAATCTTCTCCTCCTTGGAATTAATTTCAACAATTAAACTTTTATCCATGTTAATCTTAAGACTTGACACTGATGATGCACAAATCAATATTACGCAAAATCAACAGTCGAATATATGTAAGGGTGCAATTAATAGGCAATAAACAAACAATAAATAACAAGGCAGTGAATAAGGAGTCAACACAAAGATTTATAGTGGTTCGGTCCGAATGACCTACTCCACTCTAGAAAACAGCAGTGGTGGCCGGAGATCTTTATTGATGAATAAAAGTCACCGGGAGAAAATCTTTGGGAAGAAAGAAGAGAGCAATGTGTGTGGAGAGGTGTGTAGAGGTTTTTAGGTGATGCCCTTTATGTGGAGAGGACTTACATTAAATAGGCTTTGATAAGGTAGTGAGGCGGTGACGTGAGGAAGAGGACTACTACTATTTTTGTAAGTACAAATAAAGTAAGATTAGATTTCCAAGCGTATCTCAATGTTCTCTCCCTCGTGCTCCTATTCAGTCGGAGGAGGATCCTAGGCTTAGACTTAAGTTGGTGGGTGCTAGACTTGAATTGGAGTGATAGGGTCAAGAGGACGAAGGACTCCACAAGGTTGCACAAGAGAGGGAGCATGAGACAAAGGAGGGAGAGGATCCCCTTGGGGTGACCTCCCTTGGGCGGCGCCCCTTTGGTATACCCCTTGGGCGGCGCCCTTTGGGTAGCCTCCCTTGGGTGGCACCCCTTGGGGTGTTTCCTTGAGGGTGTTTCCCTTGGACTCCTTATTGATTTTGATTTTTCTTTAACTTGGGCTCTTCTTCGAGGTGACGTGAGCCTCTCTTGATTAATTGGGTATGACCCAATTAATTTCGGGTTCATCAAACACTACACCAAACACATCAATAATATTTTTAAGATTTATAAACTTCTCTTCATCCCTCCAAGGGAAGAATATGGTATTTACTATAACTTTAATAATATATCACCCAAGTGTACGTTATTGCAAAGTAATAAAATTTGGAAATCTAACGTCGTACCACGTAGCATTGATGAATAACTCAAGATACAAAGAAAAATTAAAATAAAATTATTTTTGAAGTAGTTTGAAAAAGTTGAATTTGGAAAAAGTGAATTTTGGGTTTGAAACAACTAAAGCATTGAGATCCGCTTCCAACTCCACAATTTTTATTCCTAATCCAGTTTTTCAAACTCAATTAAAACTCAACTAAAGAGTAATCTTAATCGAAAAGATTTTGTAGTGATAATATTAAAAATAAATTAAAAATATAATAAATAAATTATTTAAATAAAAATTAATATTTAATTATAAATCACAAGCATTTACTGTGCCTGGAATCGACGATGAATCAAGTTCTCCAACAATTAAATTTGTTTTTATCACAAACAAGAAATCAATTATTTTATGATAATTCTAATTAATTAATTCAAAACCAATTATTTAACCCACTAAAAATCTAAAATATTTGATGTACGTGACATAAAGAATGAAGATATTTTATAGAACAAAATTTTTACTAAAAGAAATGAATTAATTAAAAAAATCATACATTAAAGAACAATAGATCAAAAAAAAATATTGTGCTTCGTTAAAGTAATCTCTCCTTGCTTTATTTGAGGATTTAGTAACCATAGAACAAAACAAAAGCAAAAACTAGGGAAAATTGAGGATTAAGTATTCCCTGGTTAGCGTTTACAAGTATTTATACATTAATCAGAATTAAGGACTACGTTTTGGCAAACTGTCTCTCACGTCTAGATGCAAGGAACACGTGCCCGAGACGCATGCCCTCTTCTTGTAGATTTCATAATCCGTGTCTAGACGCGAATTTCATGCGTCCGAACACACCAACTTCTTTGGAAATCACGTCCAAATGTGTAGATTACGTCCAAACGTGGATAATCCTCTAGAAATTGCGTTTGAACGCGTTCAAACATTCCAAGTTTTCTCCATTTTGCATATTTTCCCTATAACTTTCCTATTTTGACATATTTACTTGAAAACAAACAAACACTATAGAAATAGGGTTAAAATATAAAATTCATCATTCATGCAAATTTAAATTCCAATCTGTTGCAATTAACCAACAAATAATGACACAATTATGTATATTTCATAGCTAATCAACATCAGTTGCAAGCTGAAAATGCGACACAGATACCCTCTCACTGCCAACTAAAAACCCTCTACAAGATTACTTCTCTTTGCCATCAACATTAACCTATTCAATCATTCCACAATAAGGGTAAAAAATGAGGGTGATAACGTATCACCCTGTTTGAGTGCCGCACACTGATGTCTCCAAGTCAAAATCTGAAGGTTTGAAAAAATGGGAATGATAAGAATCTAAAGTGTATCAACATTAGTTCGTACCTCTTTCAGAACGCGTTGAACAGTGCTGTTAAGGTCGCCTTTCCAGAAACCACCCTATGAATTGATATGTAGCTTTGGTGTGATTAGGAGCCCTGAAGAGAAGGCCTGCATCTTGGGACAATTTTTCAATGTCACTTTTGTTAAGGATGGCCATTCCAAAGTATGATTTCCCAAGTAGAAACTCTTGAGGTTTGGTAGATGTACAAGTTCAAGAGTGTGAACATTAGGGAACACAAGTTTTCCTGAAGAATCTTCTCCTTGTTCCAGGACCTCTTCCACTAAATCACATTCTCTTACAACAAGCTTGCCCAAATTGTGTAGCATTGGGAGTAATTTGGATGGTACAACTTCTAACAAATTGTTACATTTACGCACAGTTAGAACATCTAGTTGATTAAAGCAATCTACTGGAAGTTCGTTGTGCCATATCTTTTTCAGGTTATCTAATCTCTGAAGATTCAAATCCTCGAGGTTGTGAAATACAACCTGCCAATTTATGTTATATTAACACATGAATGTTCATAATTAGACAAATACTATAAACTTTCAAGGAGAGAAAAGGAACTAGAAATTACGTTATACTTGATTAATATATAGGATAAGAAGAATCATCAATAGTAATTAAAAACTTTGCCACCTTGAACAATTCAAACTTTCTTCACCAATCACGTGAGCATTTTCACAGTCATGTGTTGGGCTTGAGAAACAAGGAAGTAAAACAAAACAATGACCCAAACAAAAGGAATAATAAATAGATAACTAGATATTACTAACAAAACAACTACCATAACTTTTTGTTTCCATGCATCAGTCTCAATTTCTAAAAAAATAAAAAATGAAAAAGAGTATATGGCTTCGAGTTTGGGTCCAATTAGGTTCAAGTCAATTTCTCATTGCTTCAGTTTGAATTTACTGCAAGTAAGAAAAATTGAAAGGAGTCTTTTTCACAGGCAGGTGGTGAGTGAAGTAGAGACGAACTAGGGACCACAATTAGTATTGGTTACATGTCACATTTCCTATCCTAAAAATTGATCGTCCTATGGAACTGATAAATCAACATAGATATATGATAATTTTTCTCCCATGTTTTCCGTTTTTATACATTAGTAGTTTAGAGAGAGAGAGAGAGCACGTACCTTTTCATTGAAAAATGGTTGTATGGTGACGCTAGAGTTGCCTTCTTGATCTATTTGTCCCTCAAACTCTTCTTCACTTGCTTCTTTTGGCCTTTTTGTGCTTGAACCAACAAATGTTTGCATCTTGGGACATTTTTCAATCACCAAATTTTGCAAAGAGTGGAACTCTAAAGTACAATTCCCTTGGTAGAAGCTTGTGAGTTCTGGCAATTGAGAGAGGCGAAGGCCAAATAATTTAGGGAACACAATCATGTCACCGACCACTGCGTCTTCCTCTCTTTCGGTTGCTATTATCTCTTTCATCATGTCGCATTCTACTAACTTAAGATATTTAAGTTGAATAAGAAGTTTCGATGCTGTAAAAGAGAGAAGATATCTCCGACATTTGCATCCTCCAATAGTAAGATTTGTGAGTTTCCGAAAGGTACGAGATTCAGAGCAGACCTTGTTCCACCATATATCCTTCAAGCTTGGTAAACGAAACAATTCTAAAGTCTTTATCCTTGGTAGTGTTATTGAAGTTGTATTATGTTCTTCACATAGGTCCTCCAACAAAACACAATATGAAACAGATAAATCTACCAATTTCTGCAATTCTCCCACACTGGATGGAAAAATTGTGACTAGCTTTTCACAGTTGCTTATTGACAGTTTAGTCAATCTGTTGAAATTTCCAGCAGGAAGCAATTGTTCGTGCCATATCTTTTCCGTTTTGTGCAGTCCATTGAGATGCAAGCTCTTCAATGCTGGAAATACAACCTGCGAAATTACATTATTCATCAATCTTAATAAAAAAAAACTTGTGATTTGTCTTGTTAGCATTTTTACAGTTATCTGGCAGGCTTGAGGAACAAGGACATACAGCCACCAAGTGACCCAAACAAAGGAAATAAGAAATAAAGAATTTCTCATATGAGTCGTGAGAAATGAAGAAAAATATTGTTGACTACAATTCTACAAAAACGCTTTTTAGTAACACATTTCATGGTCACACACCTTTCCATCGAACAGAGGTTCATGTGCTCGGATACGAGGATTGCTATCTGAAGCCGAAGCCGAACTCTTTGTTTGGCCAAAAAAACTCACGAGGTTCGGTAGATTATCTAGCCTCAACTCTTTCAAGTTGTGTAAGACAATTTCATCCTCTTGTGCTGCTGCTCCTTCCGCATTGATTGCAACTATCACTTCCATATTGTTGGAGTTCTCTATCTCTAGGATTTGGAGCTGTTGAAGATCTCCTGCTATATATTGCTGAAACTGAAAGAGGCATTCCATTTTGTGACAGTTTAATACATGCACCCTCCTTAGGCTAGAAAGCCGTACTTGGCCAGTGGGATCCTCCCACAAATTTATTAACTCAGGTAAGTTGTATAGAGTCAAGTCACGTAGTTCACAAAAAGATGTAGATGGGAGATGGCCATGGCATATCTGTCTCAATTCTTGCATGTTTTCGAGCCTTAATATCTCCACCCCAGGAAAAACACAACGTGGCATCCTCTTCTTAGTGTCAACTAGATATTCAATCTTACCACCACATCTATCAACTGTCAAAGACTTCAGATTTGAAAATCCATCTATTCTAAAATCATTAAGAAGAGTCTCCACATCCACCAATTTCTTTAGGCTCAATGTTTCGGCTGTTTTTAACAGCATATTGACCCCACTGTCTTCTTGAATAATATTTTGACACCCCTCGAATTCCAAGACCCTTGACCCTACAAGTGACCCTACAAGTGACACTACAGGTGACTTTGCAGCTGACCCTCCAAGTGACTCTAGAAGTGGCAAAGGCCAATAGTCATGCGGGCCTATACTAATGTGATATTGAATCAACTGATTCCCAAACACTAAATTTTTAGGATACATCTCGAAATCTAGTACTTCAATATCTAAGGTTCTTAAATCAGAAAGATGTTTCAACTCAATAAGGCTTGCATTATTTTTTCCCCTGTCTTGACCATCAGCACTCCAGTCCTTGAAACTCTCTCTCATGTACAAGCATTCCAATCGGGTCAAACTTGCTATAACACCAGTTGGAATTACTTTTAAATACCAACACTTTGACAAATCTAGGAACCTTAAACGAATGAGCTGTCGCACCTCCAGTGGTAATGCTGTAATATTAGAGCCAACAAGACTGAGAATTTCAAGGTTCTTTAACTCTCCAATAAGTGAGATGTCTGATATCTCACAATTCTCTAAGCACAATGTTCGAAGTTTTTGTACACATCCGACAGATGGTGGCACTGCTGGAATAGACATTCTAGTCATGCTTAGAACTCTCAAGTTTTTCATCCCCTCAAAAAAAGCACCTGAAATATTGACTGAACGATTATCATTATTGCTCAACAACAATATTTCAAGTTTTGGACAATCGCATGCATCAGAGAATTCTTGGATAAGATTGTCAAGTAGCGAGATTGCAGTATAACGATTGAGTGTCTCGTCTCTAGGCCATTCTGTCAACTTGGAACCAGCTCTTACCAAAAAAGCATGCTCACCACTAGATGCCTCCCATATAGCAAAATCTCTGACAACATCATGCATCCTAATATGCCGCCCTCTGTTGTTATCATTCAATAACAAACATCGTGCTTTAAGGTTATCAACCATCGACTTTACCCTACCTCTTGCATCTATAATATTAATCCTATGTCCAAACAACCTTAAGCCCATTCCATATCTCATCAAAACTCCGACAGGTATGCCAGAATCTTCAGGGAAAAGGCAACACAATAAGAAAAAATACTTGAGTTCTGCACTTTCCAAAAAATTATAACTCAACTGTAGCGCCGAATAAACTTTGTCATGCATGCCTGGGATAGTTCTCGGCTCAGAATTCTTTAATTGGAGAAGTGCGTCTTTCCACAGATCGTAATCCTTACCCTCCAAAGCTGCTGCAACAGTAACAATTGCAATTGGCAAACCTGCACACTCTTTAGCTATATCGGTAGCTATTGGATACACATCTCGCAACTCAACATTACCTGCGGTTTTGTTGAATAAATTCCATGCCTCTCTCTCAGATAAGACGTCAATGGGAAGTTTTTTTTCAGCCTTCATCTTTGTACAAACATGCTGATCTCGAGATGTCAAAACAATTTTACAACCTTCATGAGCATTGCCGTGCGGAATTCCTACAGCCACCAAATCAAGTCCTTCCCACAAATCATCCAGGATTACAAGTATTTTCCCAACTTTCTTTATTCTCTCGCATAAGCGACCCGCTCTACCCAAATCACTTTCAACATCAAATTTTAATCCCAATTTCTCTGCAATTTGAGTTTGAATTTTGCTGGTGTTTGGCGTCTGGGAAACCACTGCCATCACTACCTCATCAAAGAGGTGATGTTTCTCAGCAAACTTTGCAACTTCTGTGATGAGGGTAGTCTTCCCAACGCCTCCCATCCCATAAACTCCCATGACGTTGATCTGATCATCATTCAGCGCTTCAATGATCTCATCAAAAGTTTTTTTTCTAGACTCAAAAATTTCCGTCTCGCTCGGAAATATGGATTCATATCTTGGTGGGCGCGGAGGTTGAGAAACACAGTCGAAGATGTTGCCTTCGCTTATGAGCAGATCAACGGCCGAACTCTTGTGCTTGGCCTTCTTGCTTACTTGGTAGCGTGACTTCATATCAGGGCACAACCCAATAAAGCACTTGTTGTTTCTCACAGCTTCACCATCATGTAAAATCTGGTAGGACTCTTGGGTAATTGTGTCCGCATCTGTAAGCCATGTCTGAACATTTGGTAGGATGACTTGAAGATTCCTAGCGTCCACATCGACTCTTCCTTGGATTCCCTCTCGAACGTCTTTCAGGTCCTTATCAACTCAAGTTTTGAGATCATTGATGTTGCGATGGTAATAAATTATATACCCAAATTGACGCCCAATTGGTACGACCGTGTACTCTCCAATTGTTGTGACAATCGAACCCAGAAAACCCACAGCTGCTGCATCCATTCTTTTATGCTTTTTGCTTCTTTTTTTTTTCTCCCCTGAAGAAACAGACCCAAAGAGATATAATGAAAACCAAAGGGATTGATTATATAACAAAAGATATTAGAAGAAATTAAAGGAAGGAGTCTGCAAAACGTGCCTCTTTATGGAATAATATGCATAAAACAACGAAGCTGAGATTGAAATATTAGTATCTCCATATGGAATTGAGAACAAAAATCTCTACCAGTAAAATTTCACCGAGAATCCAAATGAACTTTGAGAGAAGCACAAGTGGGTACTGGAAAGTGGAAACACTCCTACACCCACAAAAGACAGAAAATTAGAAGAAGAGCAAAGGAGCATTAGTCAAATATCAGTTCTCATGTGTACTGGTCATAAAATATTGGTTCGGATCCTCTTAGTATCAAATTTAGTTCATATTAATCTTCTAAACCCCTAATGTTTCTTTTTTCTTTTTGGGTACCGTTATTCTCAAGAAAAAAACAAAAAAAAATGACAGACTATTCATCACTCTAAATACTCTCAATTAGAGCAGCAACAATACCCAGGGCTTTGTAAAAAATGAATGACTTTATTCTTCTTTCTAAAAAAGTAAAAAAAAAGAAAAGAGAACAACTAGAAAAAGACAAAGGACGAAATGAACAAGAATCAAATTCTGTGAATCAAATTGGGTACGGGGTTCCATTAAGCAGTGCACATCCGAATCACGTGGACTATCTATTATCATAAATTATGGTGTTCTCCGGTCTCCACCAATAATTTGTCTGATAAATTGTTGTATTAAAAAACCTGATAAAAAATACTAATTGCATTTGAAGTATGTACTTAATCTCACTTTAGTTCTTCAATTTTTAGTTGTGTTAGTTTAATCCTTAAGGTTGTAAAACTCTAATTCTCAATGAACAAAAAGAGACCCAAACAGATTTAATGCAAAATAAAGAGACTATATAACAAAAAATAACATTTCCAACAAAAATTGAAGGAAAGAGAGCAAAACATACCTCTGAAAAGAAGATGAGATTGAAATACTAATATCTCTGAATGGAACTGAGAACGAAGATTTTAGTTGGTAAATTGCAACCGAGAATCAGAATGAGAGGCAGAAAATGATATTTGAGACAAAGCACAAGTAGGCAGTGGAAAACACTGACAGGAGGGTGAGAGCCCCGAGAAGGGATGAAGGAGGGGATAATTTTGTTATTTTCAGAAGGTTGTTGTGGGGTCGAAGTTTCGGATTGGATAAAGAAGTGATGGACAGCTGATTAGTGTCTAAAGGAATGATGCTTGGGAAATGGAGAAAGCTGTTTAGTGCCTCAGTGGGACATGAAAGACAATGACAAAAGTGAGTGGGGAATATGGAACGGTGGATACAATTTTCAAACTGGGCATTCTGGTAGGAGATTCTCAGCCTAGTTCTGAAGATTGGACGGTGCTAGTTTTTTTTTTCTCTTTTTTTTTTTTTGAAAAATAAGATATTTACTCTTTAAATTTTCATCACATATAATTTTTTTATTTTTTTATGTGGGTGTATGGACTTTCATCCAAACTCCAAAAGATCGGTGCCTATATATATATATATATTTTTTTTTTTTTATGGAGGTGTAAGAGACTCTCAACCAAGTTTTAAAAGATTGGAAAGTGTCTATTCTCTCTCTTCTTGTTTTTTTCAAAAATTAAGGCGCCTACTATTTAAGTTTTTATTACATGTTATTTTTTTATTTTTTTATGCGGGTGTGTAAGGGACTTTTTGCCAAACTCTAATTGATTGGAAGGGGCCTAATTTTTCTTTTTCTTTTTTTTTTCCCAAAAAATAAGGTGTTTACTCTTTAAGTTTTCATTACATGTAATTTTTTAAATTTTTTTATGTGGGTGTGCCAGAACTCTCGTCCAAGCTCATTTTTTTTCCCTGAAAGTAAAGTGCCAATTTTTTAAGTTTTTATTCCGTATAAGTTTTTTATGTGAGTGTAAGGGATTCTCAACCAAGCTTTAAAGGAATGGAAAGTGCCTATTTTTTTTTTTTGAAAAGTAAGGTGCCTATTATTTAAGTTTACATTACTAGTAATTTTTCTATTTTTTTTATGTGGGTGTGTAAGGGACTCTCTGCCAAAATTCCAAACGATTGAAAATTATCTTTCTTTCTTTCTTTTTTTCTCATAAAGTAAGATTCATACTCTATAAGTTTTCATTGATGTAATTTTTCTATTTTTTTTATTTGGGTGTAAAGGACTCTCGGCCAAGCTCAATTTTTTTTTTGAAAAATAAGGTGCCTAATTTTAAATTTTCATTGTTTTGTTTTTTTATGTGGGTGTGTAAGGGACTCTCGGCCAAGCTATGAACAATTGGAATGTGCCCACTTTTTCTCTTTCCTTTGTTTTTTTTTTTAAAAAAGTAATGTGTCTACTCTTTAAGTTTTTATTACATATAATTTTTTTTATTTTTTTTATGTGTAAGGGACTCTCGGCCAAATTCTGAACAATTGGAAGGTGCCCACTTTTTTTCTTTTCTTTATTTTTCTTTTTCAAAAAGTAGGTGTCTACTCTTTAAGTTTTCATTACACATAATTTTTTTTATTTTTTTAAGTGGGGTGTGTAAGGAACTCTCGTCCAAACTCTAAACAATTGGACGGTAGCTACTTTTTCTTTTTCTTTTTCTTTTTTGAAAGTAAGGTCCCTACTTTTACTTTTTCTTTTTGAAAAGTAAGGTGCCTACTCTTTAAGTTTTCAATTTTTTTTTTATGCGGGTGTAAGAAGTCTTAGCCAAGCTCTAAACATTTGGAAGGTGCCTACTTTTACTTTTACTTTTACTTTTACTTTTTCTTTTTCTTTTTGAAAAGTAAAGTGCTTACTCTTTAAGTTTTCAATTTTTTTTTTATGTGGGTGTAAGAAACTCTTAGGTAGTGTTTGATAAAATTGAAAGCTGAAAACTTAAGTCTGAAAGCTGAATCTTAAATTTGTAAATTGTTTGGTATTCATTGAAATTTAAGTAATGAATTGAACTAAATTATTTGATAACTATACAGTCAA